AGCAGTGTTTGCATTATTTATGTATTGATGGTTATGAAATATTAAATGTGTAAAGGTTATTACCGTTTTTTCTTTCTTTCTAGTGACTTATCTAACTTTCCTTAACCTTTGTAGGAAGGGCATATATTGCAAAGATAAACAAACAACACCTCTTACAAGGTACATTAAGTATATACATAGTGTCTACATAGACATGGGTCTGTTCACATACAGCAAGGACCATAACTCGGATCAGATTTTCAGTTTAAGAAACGTTGACTGAGAATATTGATGGTTCTTATTGTATTTCTCCCCATATTTTGCATGAGTATATTCTCAATATTAACTATAATGTCATATCTAAATGAATTTATTGTCAGGGTAACGTATCGACGATGAGATAGTTTGCAACACAATATACATTACAAAAATTGTAAAGTATATTTTTATAAAAAATACACACACACACACATATATATATATATATATAAATATAGATGTAAAAAACAGATAAAATACGTATCTTGTAATACCTTTTTTTATTGGACTAACAGAATTTTTTAATGACAAGCTTTCAGGAGAACCTCCCTTTCTCAAGTCTGAAGCATTTCTGAGCAAGTTGACACATAAAATTCAAAGTTGAGTTGTGATACAGGGGTTAAAGCGACATGAGTGCAGATAAGATGGCTACAATCTCTATATAAATATATATATATATCTAGTGTACATACACACACACACACACACACACACATACACACATTCTTTTTCTCGCTTTTTATATTTTGCAATTACTGCAGAATGTCAGAATGATAAATACTGACACAATTAGTGTATGTGTAAGGTATTTGCTGTGATTGTCATTGTGTCTGGATATTTCTGTGGTCTTGTTGTATGACTTAGTTAGTTCATGGAGTGGGCAGAATGAAAGGTCTCTAACATCCACATACAAAGCCCCCACATTCTAAAAGAGGAAGTGTGCACTCTCTGTCTTTGTGTATGAGTGTTATGGTATAAAGTCTGTTTCCTGTAAAGCACAGCAATAACGTATTTGTACCAGAGGTTTCCATGTTATTATATCTGCATTGTGTGATGGGTGGCGAAAGGAAATCGAATGTTTTACATTTCGGTTGTATGTTGGTGAAGCAGTCTGGGCAGGCTCTGTATTAAAGCATATTGTTACAGACACAAGTGTAAAACACACTACAAACAACACGTATACTTTATCTGTGTACGTACACTATATGTGTGCACTTTGTATGTGAGTGGAGTGAATGCTAAATGTATAAAATGTGTATGTTTATGCAGTAAATAAATGTAGTTTTAATTCTAATTGGAATATTTTGCATCTTATATATATATGCAATAAATGCATGTCGTTTGTATGTACATAGGTAGTCTGCATGCAAATGCAGTAAATGCATGTGTTTTGTTTGTGCATACAATAAATGCATGTAGATGGTCTTGAATGCTCAATTTTTGTGGCGTTTTATGTATATGCAGTATATTGCTACAGTTTGTATATGGATGTAGAAAATGCGTGTAGCAATATATTAATGCAGTGAATAAATGTAGTCTATTTGAATGTCCATCTTGTTATATTCTAAGCAATGATTTTAGCCAAATAAAAATATTAACATTTATCACTTCAGCCGCATAAAACTGAAAAGACTTCAATTTACACCAAAATGCATTTATTTCACCAGTCTTAATTTTATACAAATGTCCACGGGTACAAAACTACATACAGAAGCAGTCACACTTATCTTATTAACCCTATGGGCACTTTATTGATCAGAAAAGGAGATTTAAACAGATTTTAGTCGATCACAGTGTATGAGGGCGATCAGCATACGTTTTAATACTACTTTGCTGGCTACAAATTGTCAAAAAGTAGGGATCTGAAAGCATCGATTAACAGGGTATTTTATATGTACAGTAAGTGTATTTTATGCACTGCTGTACTGTTTACAATGCACGCTTTAAACACGCAGAATGTGTGTTTTAAATACACCAACATCCATATTTATGAACACACGCTTAAATCCCACGCACATACACTCAATAAACTCACACATAACATCTATAGCATGCTGTTTATATGTATGATTGTCAACATTGTTTCTTTAGACTACATCAATCTAAGGATAATATATAGCTATTACAAATAATAATTTTAATAATAATAATAATAATATGCTTATCATTTAAAAAGCTTCCAATTCTTTAAAACTGTTCACCAATGGTTTCATATTAAGGCTCAAACAAAGTAAATATAATGCAGTTTTACATTTAAAATTTAATCGACTGTCTATACGAGACAAAAGGTAATCAGAAATAGTTAATTTACGTTTATTATGGAAATAAATATTTACAAAATACAACAATGGAGCGGATCTGGGTCTATTTAAAAATAATAAACTCAAAAATACGTGTTATAATAAGAAAATATTATACTGGTTTAAATAGTTATTTGATCATAATTTTATATAAAAAAGTAGGATTTGGGTTCAGATTTCTTCCAAATTTTAGTTTGTAGTTTAAATTAAAACAATACTTTGTGGCTAGAATATCATTACAGTGTTTTAATTGTTTAATGTTTTTTTTTTTTTGTCACAAATATCCATGATGTACCATAATCTACGTTTTGAAGTATAATAAAATGTGCTGGTTTTCTTAACTGAATACAAATTTAATTTTTTGTTCCACTGCCATAAAAAAATAAAGTATAATAATAACAGATGTAAGTGCAATATAAACAGATGTTCATAAACAGTTGCATTTGTAATACACGATGGGCTATGACACAGGGTGTACAAGTGAGAGTTTATTTAATTTTTCAACGAATTCATTGTCATTCTTTCTGTACCGGTGGAATATTTTTGTTAATTTAGCAAAAAAAAAAAAAAATTATACCCACTAACAAAATAAATGTCAGAAATACAGTTAACAACATATAACCCCCCCTCCCCCCAATCATAGGATATAAATAATAGTTTATAATTCACATTTATAATATACAGGAGCTAATTAGAATATATCTATCTATTTATCTCGTTTTACTAACTCACTCAATCTGACAGTATTCTATAAATTAAATAAATATATCCGAAGCTCCATAAACTATTAGTTTCTGCTAGGAGAATGAACCCAGCCTATCTGTATTTTATTCACTTAGATTTCTTCGCTGAGTTAAAATGTTCTAGTACTTGGTATCATGGGGATTTATTGTATGGCGAAGAAAAGGATAAAATGTATTGAAGTATTCCACGCTTGGTTTGGGTTTTAGATTGATGCTACTTCGAGAGGCACTTATTTGTAATTCACCATGGCAGTAAAAACCACATTTGGGATTATGCAGTTTTGAAGCAAATATAGAGATTTTAGAGAAAGACGTGATGGTGTTAAGGATCATATGTGATGTTTATACTGTCTTACTGCCTACGATATGAATGAGCGTCAACACACTCTTACATGTATCCTTAAATATATAATTGAGACTTATATTGTGGAAGCAAGCTAGGGATAAGTGTGTGTATGTACGTATGTACATATGTGTATGTAATGTTGTGTGCTTTGTCTAATACCAGAGTTCAATGTTCTGTTGGCAGGCAATTGTACTGAAATGTGATTTGTGATAATAACCAATGCAGTAAAATGGAATAGTCCTTAAAACATAATAGTGAGGGGTAGTGCTTTAAGAGGGTCTCACTGATTTCTCAATCGATCTACTTTGTCAACAAAGAGCCAGTGAGTGTAAGAGAGACAGTCAGTATTAAAGAGTGACAGGTAGTGTGTAAGAGAGTGACAGTGAGTTTGAGAGTGACAGTGAGAAAGTGAAAGTGACTGTGAAAGAGAGACAGTCAGTGTGAGAGAGTGATAGTTACTGTGAGAGAGACAGTCAGTGTGAGAAAGTGACAGTGACTGTGAGAGAGACAGTCAGTGTGAGAGAGTGATAGTTACTGTGAGAGAGTGACAGTGACTGTGAGAGAGTGACAGTCAGTGTGAGAGAGTGATAGTCAGTGTGAAAGAGAGTGACAGTCAGTGTGTGAGAGTGGCAGTGAGTGTGAGAGAGTGACAGTCAGTGTGAGAGAGAGACAGTCAGTGTGAGAGAGTGATAGTTACTGTGAGAGAGTGACAGTCAGTGTGAGATAGTGACAGTCAGTGTGAAAGAGAGTGACAGTCAGTGTGTGAGAGTGGCAGTGAGTGTGAGAGAGTGACAGTCAGTGTGAGAGAGTGACAGTCAGTGTGGGAGAGAAACAGTGAGTGTGAGAGAGAGACAGACAGTGACTATGAGAGAGACAGTGAGTTTAATAGACAGACAGTCAGTGTGAGAGAGACAGTGAGTTTAATAGAGAGACAGTCAGTGAGAGTTATTGAGAGAGCCACGTGTAGTGTAAGTGTGAGAGTGTAACCCTTTCCCTGCGGGGTTCGCCCAGTATTAACATGTTTAGTGGTTAGAGCAGACATGGCTAAGCATTGCTGACTGGCTAATGATATCGAATCCCGCTTCCCATGACTCTCAGCCAGCCATTAACAGCTGTGAGTGAAGGGTTAATGTGAGTACACACAGGGTAAGGACAGGAGATAAGCAGTGAGCTGGCCGCTCAATGTATATGAGGGGCTGCATGCTCCGCCCCCTCCCCCCCCGGATCCCCCCGCTGGGTGCAGCTCTCTCTCTCTCACTCTCAACTTCTCCTCCTCGCCCGGGGTTTGTCAATGAACGTGACCTCACCAAGCCCCGCCCCCTTCTCCTCGGCCCATTGGCAGCTAGGCGTCCAACCCGCGTTAAACAACAGCCTCCTCCGTCTCCTCTTGTCCAATCAGCGTCAGGCGCGGCCCACCTGCTCTTCCTCTCTGAATGACAGCGGCCGGGTGATTGACGTGGCGCCCTCGCTCGAAGCCCCGCCCACTCCCAGCAGAGGACTAGCCGCGAGCGCTGTCCACATGAAAGGGGTCCTGAAAGGCGCCGCACACAGGGCAGAGCGGAGCTGGAGGACAAGGCGCAGCCCGGGGCAAAGCGCAATACTGCCCCACCACTCACAGCAGGCATTCCCTCACTGTGCTACACCACTGGACTCAGCACAGGAAGCACCCTGAGCACTCAGCCTGCACCTCTCCATCCTGCCTCCCACAGCCAGTCTGCTACTGCCAGACCCAGGGACCATCAGCCAGGGGCTCTCTCTACATCTCAGGAGAACAAGCTGCTGGGCTCATAGTCCTCTCCTTCTGGCTGTCAGATCAAACACAGCTCCTCAGGATTTCAATTGCCCTGAAGAAAACTTTTTTCTTCTTCTCTACTGAACCCTAAACGCCTGGAGGGGTCTCTTTGCCCCAGTTTGCCCCCCTCACTGACAATTACTGCAGCCCCTCTCCAGCTGCTTCATAATATGCTGGAATCCCAGAAATCCCTTGTATTGGTCTTGGAGAGGATCCAAGCAGGAAGAAACCTCATGCAGTGAAGTTTATTCCCTTTTCATTTCTCACCTTTATTTATAAACTGTGCATTAAAATTATTATTATTATTATTTTGTTGAAGCAATCTTGCTCCAAGGTGCAGACTTGATAGAAACTTGGATATTCTATTTTGCTTTTATTTTTTATTTATTTATTTTCGTTTTTTTGCAACAGTGTTCCAAAGGCTTCTGTGTTCTCCCACAGGGGGAGGGGGCAGTATAACCTTAAACAGAATAAAAGTGAATTTATCTAACGCTATCTAACCACGAGTGAGAAACAAATATACGGATTTCACGGAGCAGTGATTATTTTTTTTTTCCCAACGTCATGTTTCTGCATGGATGGACATAGTCCTACACTTCCAGCCCTGCCAGTGGATTATGCTGTCACATTACATTGTGTGGGTCACTGTAAGTCTTGAAAAAGAGACCCCCTGTAGCAGTGCTTTTTAAATCACATAACTATAATATATATATAATAGAAATATATCTATATTCTATTTATTTCAGAGAGTAAAACATGTCTACTGACTATATAGGTACCACATTTCTGCTCTAAGTACTCCCAGTTCTTCCCCAGAAGACAGGACACACTGGTGTCTGATTGAACCTTTTGTCAACAAAAACAAACTGTTTCTTTAAAAAATAAAAAACCCTGCATTGACCACACATGTTCTGTGAATACCATATTTTTGTACATGCAGGTCTAAAGCACACATTTTAAGGAGAGTGGCAGTTGATCCCAGACATTCTTGCTTCTACCCCAGGAGTTAAGACTTCAGCATCGCTTGGGATTTGCACTTGGAGAGTGTTTGACTGCATTGGATCAAGTAGCTGATGTAATAATTTTATTATCAAGGAGATTACTACAGTTTAGGCTCCAAAAAGGCATCAGCCTCCATCTGTGGATCGCTTCAATGGAATTACACTGTAAGCACGACCCGTTTGCAGCAATGCATAGTAAGTAGGCAGTTCATTCACTTGCCTGGATTCCAGACAGTACCCTTAGCTTTAACTCACAATATTCTTAATAAATGAGTAGGACTTTAGAGTACTTCTACAGAGCCATCAGGTTATTAAATAATCAATATGCCTTATTGAACATTATAAAATAAATACAATACATTGTAAATGCAAGACATAGATCCAAATCAAATAAATTGGCCAACTTTATGTTAGCACTGGCTACTTTATAGATTTTTTTTTTTTTTATCATTTTGCAAATAGTTGCTAAAATATATTATTAAGGGGTAATTGTGACATGTAGCAGACTGGGAATAGGAAAATGAATATTAAAAAAATAATATGATTCTATATTTAGTTTATTATATATCTAGTTTATTGCGGTTTGTGTTTGTTTAATGTGTCTGCGAGTTCGCTGTAGCTGTATAGTAATATAACAAAGTATTATTTACGATTTCACCTGTGAGTTCTAGAATTCCGTTTCTCTATTTACAAACGCACACATGGCTTACGCGCGTATTCAGAGAATTCCAGCGAATTCGTATTTAACAGCCCAAACATCGATTTTGTACGGATAATATCGCAGTGAATCCTCATCGTTCTGTGCGATACACTCTGCAAATCGGTTTATAATCAACTGTGCCCTATAGAGGTTTTTTTTTTTTTTTTCAGTTTTAGATCTCTAAGGAATGTATCTGATTTATAGTACTAAGGTGGCGTGGTTTATTTGTAGCAAAATGGAAACAGTAATAAAAGAAATCAAATCAGCAGTGCTATTATTTGTTAAACATTCAGTGATTTGATTAATAGTCTCGTATAATTATTGCACTGGGCAATCTTCCAAAATGTCATAATTAATTTGTTTACAGTATTTATTAGACATATGAACTTCTGCAGACGCTATATATAATATATATATTATATACTGCAAATAAATCTGTATAGTGTGTGTGTATATATGTATAATCAGTACATATATGATATATTATATTATTATATATAAATGATATATATATATATATATATATATATGTAGTGTACAGATTTATTTATTTAATATGTTAAACATAACAGAAATAGTAGCAAGTGCAATGTATCACTTTTACTGTACGATGTGATTTATTTTTGTCGTTCTGATAATATTTGAGTTTGAAAAAAAAAATATGTTAAGCAGTGGAAATAAGTTTTATTCTATTCTACTATTTTAATTATTCTATTCTATTTATTATTATTATTTTTTAATTAGTAAACGCAAGAGTGGATTTTAATTAATGAATGATTGAAATAAGGTTCGGAGCTTTGTTTGATGACTCCTGTTTATAGATGGACCTTTGCCATAAATCTGCTTTGAAAATAGGGAATAGATCACTGGGCAGCCAGTGGCATAGATGCTCAACATATCCTGTGACTTTTTAATAAGCAGAAAGAAACCTAGCTTAGCTTCCCAGCTTGCTTCATATGAAACAACACACGTTGACGACTTTTCAAGTTAATTCTTCTTGAGATAGATTTAACTGATTAAAAAGCAAACATGAACTGTGCAGTCTAACCCAGAGCAATTTCGTTAAGTAATTATGCGTCATATTGGCATTTTTTGCCATTATTATTAGAAATATATTGCTTTCCTAGAAAAAGCTTTTACGTTTAGAACTATTATTAACATACAGTGAAGGAAATGCATTTTAAAAATTATGGACTCAAAGAAAGCCTTGAAATTTTACTTAAAATGATCTATCTATCTGTCTGTCTGTCTGCCTGCCTGTCTGCCTGTCTGTGAGCAATTGCATCAAATACATTAATAATAAATATTTTTTATTTAATAATTATCCCTTATACTATGCACATAAATATAGCAATTGCATCAGTTTTAATTCAGTCCTTTCAGTGTAAATAGGATTCCACTTATATTATACTCATGATATATATGTGTATAAAAGGCAAATAATTCTATTTTTTTTTACACGTTACCTTTAAACAGTCCCCCTATCAGTCCCATGTTTCTGTGTATACATAGACACTGTCTTATCCAAGTGCATTTTTTGTGCATGCAGTATACATGGCCAGCAAGTGCAAAAGTTGTTTTCATGTTTCGTGGTCAGAATACCATACCAGGAAGTCACTCAAGCAATACATGCAACTGATGTGCCTTTTATTTACATGGGCAAGTTGTCTTTCAACTGCACGCAGAACAAAGGCACTAGGCTGAGATCTGGCACTACACTTGAAGGAGATCAATATATTTGATTTCCTCTGGCTTGTTAAAACTCCTAATTCAGATCATGGGAATGTATTTCCTATTGCTGGTGTAGCTACACCTCTAGGATGGGGAATGGTGCATTTAACCCCTAGTGTAGTTTCCAGAGAACTAGTCAATATACTTACTGGGGTATTAATGCATTTTTGTTATTAGTCAGTGTTTTGAATACACATTTTGTTATGGATTAACCAATTCAGTACTTAACTGGCCTAGGCAATATTAATAATATCAACAATAGTTATAGTATATTAACATTACACCATAATACATGTTTAATGTTTTATAGATAATACAGCTTGACATTATTATAAACAATACATTATATATAACATTACATATTAAACATACAAATGATTAATAACTTTGAGAGAGGAAGACCTGACTCTTTTTACCTGGAGCTTGGCTTATGGAGACATTGTTTGCACATTTTTTTTAATGATGGTATATGATATATACCAATGTATATACCAATGATGGTATATTTATAGCATTAGCTATACACACATGGATATGGATGTGTATGTGTGTATTTACATATATATGCTATGACACACATCCATTTCCATGTGTGTATAGCTAGAGCTATGTAGTAATCAGCTCTGTACCAATATGTAAACTGGTATTAACACTTGATGGACCATGATTGTACCACTCAAACCTTAAATTTGTTTCAATCTTTCATTAGTGATCAGTTACACACATGCTGAATATTTCACACTATATTTATATATAGTATGGAATATAGATATATAGTATGACATATTTACATGACATTACAATAATCAATAAGTCTTTAAAAACTCTTTTGTATAACTATATGTATTGCATTTTCAAGGAATTATAGCAGTTTATTATCATTTTATTGCTAATTGTTAAAGTATTGTGCTGTAATGGAAATGGCAAAATTGCACTTTTATCTTTTTGTTATGCTATCATTTTCTAAGTACAGGGCATGTTTGATTTACTGACAAGGGGTCTGATTTACAACTAACTAGCAAGCAATATACATGTAGCACTTGTATTTGTTAATAAAACATAGAACCACAGTTAATGTCTGAATATCTCTATAGCTTTTGTAGATGAAACTTGGTATTGCCATGCTAATTTTCTATAATTTGCTTCTATACAGTATCTCTTCATTGTAAGGTCATATGACCTTTGTCACCTTTTGTTCTTTGTAGCTTGTTGCCATTTAACTAAATATTTTCCTCTTTTTATCCTTTCTAAAGAGCTGAGGGAAAAACTGAAACACCATTATTATTTTTATTTTTATTAATAATAGTAATAAAAAAAATTAAGTAAAAGGGTATTAAGGGTCTTTTTGCCACCTTTAGGATGTGTCTCGAAAGCTATTACAAGTTTATTTGGCAGATTATTATGTGAGGTCCTATGTATTAATATAACTGGATTTCCTCTGCGTTGAGAGAAGTGGTTTCAATTTCCAATGAAATACACATGTGTACATTGACATTAATTACAGATTTGGCAAAATAGATACTAGTTAAACCCGAATCTTTAGGGAAATACTCAACGTCACTAAATATAAACTAACATAACAATCACCCCAGGTTATAATCCCAGTTGCTGACTTGCTTGCTGCTGTTCCCCTGGCAGGAATTCATAGGCTGCCGTACAGTACGCGGAGCACTGCTAATTCAATTAACCCATGTTGTTTAATGCAATGGGACAGATGTCCAGTGAA